GTGATAGTTTGAGGTGGACAGCAGAGGGACTCAGCTGCTCCTACACATGTATCCATTCTCTCCTAAACTCCCCTCCCATCCTGCCTGCCACGTAACATTGAGCGGAGTTCCCTGTGCTGTGCAGGTCTTTGTTGGTTATCCATTTTAAATACAGCCGTGTGTACCTGTCTATCCCGAACTCCCCTAACTACCCCTTCCCCTCATCCTTCCCTCCTGACAACCCTAGATCCGTCCTCTTATGTCTGTGAGTCTGCTTCTGTTGTGTAGATAAGTTCACGTGTGTCGTTTCTTTTTAGATTCCACATCTAAGGGATGTCATACAATAGTTCTCTGTCTCTGACTTCACTCAGGATGTTCAGTTGTAAATGTGGTAACAGCAGGCGCCCCCTTGAGAGGGCCGGCTAGCAACATCTGAGCCAAGGGAACGTTGACAAGCGTGAAGCCCGGGATTCTGGATGGTTCTCCATCCAGTCCCTTTCCCAAGCACAGCCTCGCCTCAGGACTCTCCCCACGGGGAGAGCGGGGACCCACCCTGCATGGGGAGCGTGTGGGTCCCTTCGTGACCCGGCGAGGGTACTGGACTCTTAGGCCAAATGGGAACCATTGATCTCATGATGCGAGCAGAGACTGGTTTGGTCCTTCGCGGAGGCTGGTGATGATGCGCTCACGTCAGAGTCGCGTGCCAGCATCTGATGACCACTAGCATTTACGGAGCACTCACTGGACCCTGGCCCTGTGATGAGCCCCCCGGGCATGATCGCTTCAAAAGGACCTGATCAGCCATGAAGCAGACGCTGTCACCTCCGTCTCAGATGGAACAGAGTCTCAGGGCATTGGTCACCTTGACCCGCGGAGCCCGGGATTCTCCGTGGTGTCCTGTTAATGCCACGCTCCCCGCTCCGTTCCTCCCCACTCGCCCCTCTAACTGCAGTAAATCCGTGATTGCCTGAGGGAAGAGTCTGTGGACTACTTTCTGGTTTTCTGTTGCAGTACTTAATTTTTTAAATTCATTTTTGGGGACACTGGGTCTTTGTGGCCGCCCGCAGCCTCTCTCTAGCTGGCAGCGAGCAGGGGCTACCCTGGTCGCGGTGCGGGACTTCTCATTGCACCCACTGGTTGCCGCGCAGGGGTCCTACTTGTTCCGCGGCGAGTGGACCAGGGATCGAACCTCTGTCCCCCGCATTGGTAGGCGGATTCTTAACCACTGGACCAGCAGGGAAGTCGGGAAATACTAAATGTGAAGGGGGTCCCCTGGATCCGAGATAAGCACAGCGTGAAGGAGGGCAGGTTCCAGACAAGAGCAGTGTTCTCTCTGCACCAGGGTTTCCTGCTTCTGTCCGCAGTTACTCCTTGAGGACCTCTTCTGCTCACAGATGTCCAGGCCTTGCTTCTGCTCACTGGCCACCTTGTTCCTCCCAGCCAGAGGGAGAGGAACAGAGGCGCTTTCCTTGGAAGCCTGCCCCCGCCGCCCATGGCAGGACAGAGGACGGGCATTTCAAAGCCTCAGTGACCCAAATGTGAGTCTGACAGAGCAGAGAATCCAGCTGGGGTTTAGGCAGGCCCCGGGTGGTAGCAGAGCTGACTCATTAAAGCTTTAGAGGCATTAGAAAAACTTCATCCAGAGTCAGTGCTGGTAAGTGGGCACTTTGTGATACCTGCCACAGGTAGTGTTGGGGGGGGGTGGACCCAGGGAGCCCACGCTGGGCTTCCCGCGTGCCCGTCTTCTCTGTAGAGTGTGGATGGGGCAGGGCCTTCCTGCAGGGCACAGAGCAGAGCATAGCGGCCGCTCCTGAGAGAGCGAAGTTCAGGTGGGAGCAGGGCTGGTCCTCCTGGAATGAGCCAGGGCAGAGCCTCTCAGGCCCCCTTGCAGAACTTTTTAGAGTGCATCTCATTCAGTTTTAACACACACACACACGAGAAGGGGCAGCACCCAGGGCCCAATTTGTAAACTTTCTAAAAGGTAATTTTCGTATGCTCAATTCAGTGTAAGAAGAAACTAAAAGTCCAGGTGGTGGGGACCCTGATAGGCAATGTGTCTCAATTTGTAAGTTTCCTGCATGAAAATCCCAGCCTTAGCTCAGACTCCGGCAGGCCCTGGGGGCTGCCCCTTCTCGTGTGTGTGTGTGGGTAGGGGTCCCTCCCCTCCTGTGTGCACACACGCTCACACCTTCATCATTATCAACTGTGCACAGAACACATTTGCCAAGTGATGTTGAATAGATTCACCCAGGTTATCGTACAAAAATAGATGCCCTTTCCCTTGGTCAGATGAAGCTGAGTCAACTTGGAGCTTCCTGGCATTTACTGGCCGAGGCCGAGTCATGTATTTGGTGGAACAGCCCGCTCAGGTTCCTGGGGTTGCTGGTTTAGGAGTGGTGGTGATTTTAATCAGCCCAGTCATTTCTGTGTCTTGTTGTATACTCCTGGAAGTTCTTGGAGAAATCCTGCCAAGAAAATTTCCCCTGGCGAATCCACGGGGCACGGCTCCCCGTTGTACTGTCATCAAGTATCTGCGGAAACAAAGTGTTCTTGAATTTTTAGCCTTTCTGTGGCTCCAGCCTTTTTAAGTACTTCTTTTCCACCTTCAAGTAACAATGCACACTCGCTTTAAAGATTCTGACAGTCTTCCAAGCTTTTTAATGTTCTTAATCCGCTAAAGGAGCTGTCACTGTTCACTTGGGCAGACTGCAGGCTCTTCCAAATTTTTGGCTTGAGATTCCATGGAAGGTCACCTCCTCTGTGAGGCCTTCTACACAGGTGGGGTTGTCTGTTCCCTATTTAATTAATTTTACTGTGAAGTATCAAGGAGAGAGTCTGTACCCACCACTAAGATCAGGTAGATTTAACATGTCACCTTTGTCGTCAGGCCTTAGTTGAAAAGAATGTTGCTGACATGCGTGTGTGTACACACACACTTGTATGTTCTTGTTTAGTGGCTCAGTCATGTCCGACTCTTTTGCAGCTCCATGAACTGTAGCCTGTCAGACTCCTCTGTCCATGGGATTTCCCAGGCAAGAATACTGGAGTGGGTTCAGATTTCCTTCTCCAGAGGTCTTCCTGACCCAGGGATTGGAAGATCTGCATCTCCTGCATTTCCAGGCAGATTCTTTACCACTGAGCCACCTGGGAAGCCTTTTACACATGTGTGTGTGTGTGCGTGTGTGTGTGTATCAATATATTCTATATATGATAATGTATTTTATATAAGTAATTTTTTTTCAGTTAAATGTTTGATTTCCCACTGTGTTCCAGACCTGGAGGGATTTGGAGATGAATGATGTGTAATCAAGACATTAAAATATTTTAGAGACTTGATGATGTGCAGAGTATGTTGCAGCGTGGCAGGCAGGCGTGAAGGTGTTACAGACGATGTCCAGGCCATGGGATTTGAAGGGTGAATGAGAGTTTGTTAGGCAGGTTCTCGCTGCTTCCAAAGGATGTTTCCTTGGCTGTAATAGATACTTAGTCAACAGGAAACTGTCGTTAGAGGCTTGTGACCATTGAGAGCCTGTGACTGCCTGTCCCTTCCTAGCACTTCAGAGATTGGATGGCTCTGCTCTCCCCACCCACTCCTTTGAATTGGAAAGTTTGGGGTGTAAGGTAATGCGGGGCACAGTGGGAGTGAATTACTTCTTGACTTTGGGTATATGCTAATCCTGACCATAGAGACCACCATGTTCCTGTTCTCGACTCAGTACTAATGGACTGAGTTAAGCAAAAGCTGGCTGGTGTCAGGGTTTGAACCCTTCCTTACATTAGAAAGAGCACAGGAACATGGCGTTCTTTCTTTCTTTTTCTGTTAATTAAAAGATTATTTATTTATTTGGCTGTGTTGGGCCACATGTTGCAGCATGTGGAATTGTTATTTGTAGCACTGGGAACTAATTCCTTGATCAGGGATTGAACCTGGGCCCCCTGTATTGGGAACGTGGCGTCTTAGCCATTTGACCACCAGGGAAGTCTCAGGAGTGTGGTTTCTTTTGAATGGTTTGAAAAGTAGAGTGCAGCTGGGAAACAGGCTACAGTAATTTCATACATTTTTAAAAAAACATCAATCAACTGTTTGAATCCTGCTTGATTGTAAGGTGAGCCTGGAAATGGTCAGGGTCAGCTGCAACAGTTCTCTCTCACGGGACTTGAGAAGGACTGCCTGAAAACATGAACATCCCTGGTCCCGGCACCTCCAGTGTTGCAGTTGTTTTCTGCCCTTCATGGGAAAGGCACAGAGAAGACACGCCTGCCGCCAGGTGTTTGCCTTTTCTATCAGCCCTGGGAGTTGTAACTTCTGCGACCACCCCCTCTTTCTGCTCTGAGTGCTCAGGAAGTGGTTCAGATAATGTGGAAGGTCCCATATATTTCCTCTTAGTTCCACGTATAGTAAAATAAATGTGAGTGCTGTTTAATGCATCACCTCGTTTCATATTGCATTTGCCAAGAAAGTGCAGTTTTATTGAACATTAGGATTGAATTCTTAACTGAGTAATCAATTTCAGTAGTAAGTTAAAATGCCTTCTATTAATGACAGCTGCAACCGTTAATCAGTTACAGTGGATTAACAGTTGTCAGCACTTATGCTAATGGCACTTACAAACCATGGGATTCTGGTTTGCACTTTATAATTCCATATTTCTCAAACTGCTGGTAAGGTGGTTTGCTTGAAGGTATTGATTGTTTTGTCCCTCTGCTTGCTACTTGGAGATGTAAAGAAGTTAAATGACATTTTCACGGCGATGACACAATATCACCTTCTGGTTTTGCACACTTGGCTTCGTGTCAAAATAGATGGAAAGAGATCATTTGTTCTGGTGCTCTACTGTTTAATTTGATCTGGTGTGTGACTAAAGCAAGACAAATAGTATTTTTAATGAAACCATTTAATAACCTCTGGTAGCTTAGAATCGAAGGCATTGGAAAAATGCAATTAAAGGATGGCTAGATGTAAACAACAAAGAAAGAAATCACTGCCTCAGCTCTACTGACCCATTTCATTTTTCTTTCAGGGTTTCATCGCCTTAAATGGTTTTGAACCAATGAAGCTGGATTCTCTTAAAAAAGACGGACAGCCCATCGTGTGAACTATAGAGTTTGTGGACAAATTTATGTTGGTGAGTTATTATAAAATGGCTCCAGGTAAAAGTTCAGGTTTTTCAAAAATCCCCTTTGGAATGTGTTTTCAATTTGTTGGTGACTATGGATCTCCAGCAGCCTCTGGATATTTCATTGGGACGTTTAATAGCGGGATCATATTGATTGTCTTTCAATTAATTGCATCTGGTATTTTCATTTATCAAAAGCAAAATACATGTAATTAACTCTGAGGCAATACAGTTCAGTGTAAAGTGATGTTGCTGCTGTCGCTGCTACTATAGAGATAAGTCAACGGAAATTACACTAGGAAACTCGAGTCAGGATGGAGCCGTGTTAGGGCTTCTGGACATATTAATTACAAAGAATAAAAATGAATTAGGGAGATAGTCCCATGCCATGCCGAGTGGCTTGAGCAAAATGGTTGATGGACGTCTTTAGGAAGAAAGCAGCTTGCTGATGCTGGTGCATCTTTAATGAGCCAAGAGTCTGAGAGTTACAGACCTCCAGGATGTCCTTTTTTAATTTTTTGCCACAACCTCACAGGCCTGCAGGATCTTACCTGAAAGAGGAAGTGTTAGTCACTCAGTCGTGTCTGACTCTTTGAGCCCCCATGGACTGTAGCCCACCAGGCTCTTCTGTCCATGGGATTCTCCAGGCAAGAATACTGGAGTGGGTAGCCATTCCCTTCTGCAGGGGATCTTCCAGACCCAGGGATTGAACCCGTGTCTCCTACGTTGCAAGTGGATGCTTTACCGTTACCTGGCCAGGGATTAAACCCATGCCTCCTGCAGTGGAAGTGCGGAGTCTTAACCGTTGGACCACCAGGGGAGTCCCCTGTAGGATGTCCTGAGCATAGAATGCTTTCTTTCTGATGGAATGGATTAGGGATGTGGGTGTGTTGTGAGAAGAGCCTTCAGTTGTCGGCCCTCATGTGGTGTGTGTGAGAAAATATTGATGGACAGACTTCAGTCCCCTTCCCACCACCAGAGCAAGGACTTGGAGTTGGGTGAGGGCATCCCGAGTTAATTTCAACGTGCCATTTACCACAAAACCTTTACAGAGTCTCAAAGTGCCAACTTCTCAGAAATGATTGATTTTTCATCCTGCTGGGGGGGGGGGGGGGATTGTTCCTTGAGCTGACACTGTCATTTTAAAGCCAGAAGAAAAAAAAAGGTGAGCAAACTTTCTTGGTGTTCTTTTTGTCGAGGCCCTGGGCTTACTCCCTGCAGTATTGAGTAGGACAGACCGTTTCTCAGCTGTGAGTCAGAGGCTCACAAAAGAGTTTGTGCAGCAGCGTCCCTGCCTGGGACTCCTAAACAGGTCCCTGCATGCGGCTCTGGAGTAAATATTAGTAATAACACAGAAATACATGCTGCCTTTAAAATGTTAGCCTTAGGCGGCCTGGCTTTGATGGGTGGTCCTGCCTGGGCGTGAGGAACTGACCCTCAGTCTCAAGCCAGCCACAGGGGTGTGGCCCAGGAAGGGTCTCCCTGTATAGTTTCCCCCCGTTTCCCGTGGAGGAGAGTCACTTGTGGGCCCTGGGCCTGCAGAACCTGCTCCCCAGCAGGTCCCTCTTAAAGGCCTTTATTTGTGAAATGAGTAGTTCTACTGCAGTGGTCCCCATGAGCCCCCGCCTTGTATTGGGTTGGTCGGAACGTTTGTTCGGATTTTCTTCCATAACATCTTATGGAAAAATCCGAACGCACTTTTTGACCAACCCAATAGACATCCAGAAACCTTTGCCAAGAGTCGTCTGAGGAGGCTGCCCAGCTGAAGTTCATAGCAGAGTGTGCAGGTCACAGAGGGTGACTTAACAGAGAGGGCTCCTTAATCTTTGAACACGTCTGAGTCTTTGTATTGAGGGGATGAGAAGCTAGAAATAATCGGGGAGCCTCCTTTGGGACAGTGGGACACGAGTGTGTCTGGTTTAGTCATGGAGGCCTCTTTCAACCATATACGCTCAATTTTGCCTTTTAAAGCCAATATTTCTTTCTTTTCTGGCTGCCACTCATTCTTCTCAAAGAAGCCTTTGTTTTAAAGACCCCATGTGCTGTAATCTGCCCCGGGTTCTCGGGCAGGGACGTCATTGCACACATTCTTTGTGGACCTGGGAAAGTTCCAAGACGGGGCTCGGGCTGAAGACGTGTTCAGCGGCTCACAGCAGTGGAAATCGTTCAGGCTCCCACGCACGTCCAGTTCCACATCCAAGCATGGGCAGCACCCAACCCAAACGTCAAAAAAATGGTTAAGTAACAGCGTTTTAATTTGACTCAACCTAATAATTGTACCGCTGTGGGATCCTGTTGATCCATGATCTCTATGTCGGAGAGAGGAACATTCACTTCAGTTCAATCGCTCAGTCGTGTCCGACCCTGTGACCCCATGAACCGTAGCACGCCATGCCTCCCTCTCCATCACCAACTCCCGGAGTCCACCCAAACCCATGTCCATTGAGTCGGTGATGCCATCTAACCATTGAGGAACATTAACATGGGATAAATGCATCCAATGTCAGAATGACATGGCAACACACTTCCTGATGACAAACTTTTCCTGGGCACCTAGCATGCTCAGACAGTCCGCCTCGTATGATGGTTCTCAGGACTTACATGTTTTTAGTGTAATTTGGGGGAACAGGTTTTTGGCAGCACTCTGGAAAAGCTCAAGAAGCTCAGCGTGACCCTGGCGTTGGCCCTAATTGGCGCATGGCCACCATGCCTAGAGGATGCCTCTTGGTATCCACGACCTCACCCATGGCAACTGTGACCTGTTGGCTTGGCTCCTTCCCAGCACTGGGCACCCTGCCAGTGGATTAACCTTTGCCCCTGACCACCCCCAGGTATACTCGCAGGGTGGGGTTCGTCCCTGTCCCAGAAACGTGTGTTAGCTCTGGGCTCTTTTCTCTACGGCTCATTCCTGTGCCCAGTACACTGTACCCCACTTTTCGGGTGGCTATGCACTCAGTCCCACCTGTAGCCCATTTGGGGCAGCATCTTGAATTGCAGCCCGAGAAAGGGACCCCATGTCGATTTCAACCTGATATCTTACCTGTTGAGATCTCCTTCTAGACACGTCTTTTTTAATGTGGGAAGGGGAGAAGGAAATAGATGAAAAACACAGTTCATAGAAAGCCCGTCTTGGAATGGCAAATCTGTGTGGTGCTAGGACCCTTTGCAGGTCTGTCTTGTCTTCTTGGTATATTTGTGCGTGTTCTCATTTAAGAGCCTTAATATTTCTCTTAATATTTCTAGACTTGATACTCTGGCTCTTGTGGATTTTTCTTTTCCTAACTTCAGACATTTCCACTTTCTCCCCAAAGAGGCTCCTCTGTCATCCGTAATGAACAAGTCCCCGCCACACTAAGATGTGTTGCACTTTGTCCTGCTTTTATTATCCAGCTTGCAGTTGTGCTTGTTTCGGTGAAACCCCACATGCCCTCAGTTTGCTGATTTCTGGAGCCAGCGTTAGTTCTCCCATGGTTCGGATGGGTCCGTTGTTTCTTCTTGTACCATTTTATCATTAAGCCTTAATGTTTGTAGCGGTGCCAGGTAACCTTGCAATTTCAACAAAAGTGTCGGGGAAAGAAATAAGTGCTTGTTGTCAAATGTCTACAACCAAGTGGAAACACAAATCACAGCCCTCAGCTTTTATTCTGTAAAGTGGTGGTGGGGTAGCGGTGGCTGTGGTTTGGCAGACACGGCAGGGTATCCGGCTGCCTGCACCCAGAGAGGCGCGTGCGCTGCTTTATTTTGACAGATTGCGATAATGCGGTAGAAGCTTGACCGGCCTCACAAAGCCCCAGGGAAAGGTGATCTGAGGTTCTCCAGGCGCTGGTGACTCAGAGGGGAGGGCCTCACGAGCTCTGCCTTGGGGACCAGGCAGCTCTGACCTGAGTGTGGCTTCAGTGACGTCGTCCCCAGTCGTTAGGGTCTCTGCCCCATTTCTGCCAACACAGCTTCCCTCTCCCCCGACAGAAGGGGAAAGGACTGCCTTAGCCCAGAAGCAAATGCCTCCGCCCTGCAGCCACCCTGACCGCTGCTTCCCCGGGGCACTGGAGGGACCCGGCTCTGGTCACGCTGGTCTTCGGTCGTGGCCTCCAGGGTCCCCCTTGAGCTCCCAGTCTGCACAAGGGGCGTGTGATCCTCCTCCAACTTTTAGGCTAGAGGCATGGCTGCCAACATCGGAAACCACAAACCAGAGCAAGACTTGCTGGGCCTTTCATCTCCAGGGACTCTCTAAGATGAGAAACAGCCAGGAGGCTGCGATCCGGGCGGCGGGGATGATGCCGATGAAACTGCAGCCCGCTCTCCGTTGAGAGAGGGGAGGGCCCCGCTGGAGCTCTGGGTTCCTGCTGCTTGTCTGTGTTTCTTCCTGAGCCGTGGATCCAAGCTCCTGCAGGGGCCTTCTCTGGAAGGTGTTGGCCTAGCCCTTGTCCTTTCCTCCTAGAATTTCCAGCTTCCTGCAAGGTGTCTTGGGCAGCCCCAGGGAGATCAGCCAGCCAGTCCCCTTGTTCTGTTTTCAAAGACTGTCCATGTTCTGCTCACACGGGGTCAAGTCCCCGGCCCTCTCGTCATTTCTCTGCTCTGTTGGTGCTGTTCCCCACCTCCCGCCCCTCCGGATTGATGGCTGGTTCTAATCCAAGTCTCTTCCCCAGCCAGGGAGGCACGGAACTTTGGCATCCGTGTGTCTGGAATATAGGCAGTCTGCCTCCTGCACTCCCTGGGGTTGCCGGCCGGGGAGGGACTCTCCTGAGTGGTGCTCCTGCCAGGCAGAGGGGGGATGGGGTAGGGCCTGGCTGGGAGAGACTGCTTCTTACAGTCCTCTCTCCTGGGAGGGACACGGGTTGGGTCATCACCAGGCATGCCATCCAGTGTCCTGCAGGGACAGGCTAGGTATTGGCCCTCTCTTCCCAAGATCCTGTGGCCTTGGCTGAGATCC